AGATAGATAGATAGATAGATAGATAGATAGATAGATAGATAGATAGATAGATAGATAGATAGATAGATAGATAGATAGATAGATAGATAGATAGACAGATAGATAGATATGTTCAGAACACAGATATAGACCTTATTCATGCAAAGCTCAACTACATCACAGCTATGAAATGAGCTTCAGCTGCCACCAAGAGGGCAAACCGATGCACATTTTCCCCAGACAGGTTTGTTCACACAAACACACACACACACTGGAAGCTCATTTCCTAGCCCTCGGTGGGAAGCCTGACCTTCACCGCAGCTTAGTAGAACAACAGCACAGATTTAAATATTATACTCCCCTTCCCGGCTGTACTACGAAACCTTGACGTTGTGAATTACACAGGAAATAACGCCTTTATCTTCATACTGTTAAACTGATATCATAGTTTGTATCCTTCAGTGCTATCAAGGTCCACTGGTTTCTGAAGGTATTCCTAGTTTTCCTCCACATGCCATCAGCAAGTATGACATTTTTTTTAGGATTTATCTCTATACATAGGTACATGGCAATTTTAAATATCAGCCACACTTAACGTAATCAGGTATTTGTTAAAATAAAATAAAATTAAAAAAACTATTTAAAAACTCTGCATTTTTTAACATCATAAATTCTAGATACTGACTCCGTAATTGCTGGTGTCTAGAAAATTGTACAAGGAGAGGATGTATTGAACTTCACTGACTTGCCCATGAAAGTCAAAAACATGTTTGATTAAATTAAGGCTTATCTCAGCATGGCTTCTATTTTTAGATTTCTCCCTGGAAGTCTTGTTTTGATCACTTCCAACTCTGCATCTGTAATCAGTTTTGGACTCCTTCCACTGTGTAAAAAGTGCCCATGACAACAAAGTTGTAGGATGCCATATCTGCTGGGCATGGGGGCGATAAGCGACAATGTTGGTGTGGCTAAAAAAGCACTATGGCAATGTGAGTGCATTTAAGTGCACAGGTCTGTTGATTTTGTCCCTCCGATCTCACAGGACCTAACACTAGAACTCCACCTGAAGTCAGCATCCACACTGTGCACCTGATGGACCTCCTCATGTGATGTGCGTTCTTGTGGTTTGGATGTTCTGTTTACATCCACTAAAGTCTGCGCCACATTTATACTGGATTAAAAAAGATGCCAAACACTGCCAAAGCTATAGGGTAAAAAAATATAAGAACAATATAGATTGCACATTGAGGAAGCACAAAAGGACATGGACCAGGAGACCTATCAGGGGAAATATGCTGACATGTCTGCTCTTTCCTTAGAGCACAACCAGTCTGAGATCTCACAAGAACGATGTGACTAACAGAAACAGGTATTTTGTCTTCATCGGCCCTAGCAGACTACCTCACGCGAACAATAACACAACATATAGTTTGACATCACAGAAGGAGACAATGGCATACACCTTCATCAAAGGGTTTGTCTTGCGATGTATAGAAAAAACGACATTTTTCAAAGTAGCCATGCATCTTTGTGCAGGTCCTGAATCTTAGCTGGAGATGTGGCTCTAGTTAGAAGTGATAATTCTAGTGGCACTGTGAGCAGTCCAGCAATACACAAGGCCTGACTTTGATGGAGAGATTGGCCACAATTAAATTAGCAGTCGTGTAGTGTAATGTTTAAAACTCAATAAATACATGGAAGAAGAAAAAATCAGCAGTCGTGGAACTATGATAACACCATGTATTCACATGTGTGTAGGTAGAGTGTAGGTGTAGGCGTGGTGTACCTGTCAACAGCAGGGTGGTACAGTGGCCTGCTGTCCTGTGGGGACAGGTAGCTGTAGGCTGCCGATCCTCCCACCACTCTGATCTTAAACAACGCTCCAGCATTCTGGAAGGAGAGAAGGTCACGCTATTTAACACAGCTGTGTCCCTAAAGAAGGACTACCTCAATAAATGTAATTTATGTGCATATAAAGCTGTAGACAAATATAATAAATTTGAGAGGTGATGACATTATGATTGCAGAATATATAATTGAGATACGAAAAAAAAAAGTTGAAGGACATCTTTGTAGTTTGAAACTCTGATTTTCAGCCTGGGTGCTCAATGCCTTACAAAGCAATGTGTTTTTTTCTGTAGTATGATTTAATATAGGAGTGTGAATGTGAATATTTTCTAGTATGTTTCTTTGTTTCTTCTGTACAAAGCCAATAGGGATGATTTGTTCTCTCACATTTTATTTCCTCCCATCCTCTTGTTATAAAGGGCTGCTCCATTTCCTTTGCTTTATATTACTTTTTATCATTTTCTGTCATGAAAAAGGCTTCCAAATTGCAATATTAATACTTTTATCGAGTGATCTTTTTACAGGCATTATGTGTTTCAAATAGGCCTTTCAACCCTTGTTTAGACTTTATGTTCTGTACCATATGCATCCCTTCTCCCCAGATCTCATCCTTGTTGTGCAGGGCATCTCAACAAAAAGCCTCCATCAACTACTGACGGTGGGGGTCCTGTCACAATCTGCTACGTTTATCTGCGGCTATGCTATAAGAAGAGCTTATTGGTGTCTAACTACCCAAACACCTCAATTTAGTACACACACCTTTGCATTCATGTAAATTACATCCTTTACATGAGAAATCTCACTCTGATTTACAATACTTGTTAAAGAGCGTGACAGAAGCAACAGTGCAAGAAAAGAGTGATCAAGTATAACATAATCTACAAGACTTTTAAAAAGTATATATGTGTATATATACACATATATACAAATTGACAGAGACTAGAACATTTTTAATCACTTTGTCCTATTTTTGTTTCTCTTGTGGGACTTGGTTTTAAAATGTCTGTTAACTAAAATGCTCTGTAACTATAATAACCTAGTCTCTCTGTCAGTCCTTCCACCTTTCCACTCAAATAGAGAAAAATGTATTTCCAAATGGATTACACTCTTTGTTGCAAAGACATAAGGGTTCATTATGAGTCGGCTGCTCTTGGAGAACAGGAACTGCAGTCGAGCATAAAGAGAAAGAAATTAGTTGGTTAATAGGAGCCTAGAGCAGTAATGACAAAGGCACAGTCTCTTTCTTGTTGGTTTTATGAGGTCGAGCGAGCATGCGTTCAGACATCCTTGTCTGTCTGTTAAAGTATAACGAAGGAAAGTGGATGAGACACTTCACACTAATAAGTAATCACGCAGGACTAGTACAGTTTTTGAATGAACGTTAGTGTTAAGCATTCATAATCTGCCTCACGGAGGCCAGCGACTCCAGTGAGGGAGACAGATGTTGGTATACTTTCCAAAAACCTGTGTAGACCAATTAAATGATTACCCTACAAGAAAATAAAAGATTTAAGGCTGAAAATATGAAGATGGGTGGAAGTTCAACTGGCTGCTCAAAAACGTTCATTTTTTTCTCTTTTCTTGTGTTCAGCTGAATATATGAAAGACCTTCACACCATAAAGAAAAAGATAGAAGGCCATATATTTGAATTCACTGTTCACTCAGTAATATTTGACATGAGAAGTTCAAAGATTCAAGAAAAAACAAACTCAGAGCCAAAAGCTCATTTTTAGTAGAAACAGCCGAATTATAAAAATGATAGAAATCCTCCAACATGGATTTAACATCAGGATAAAAGACTTAGGGAATTTTCTAAATATTCCCAAAAAAGGTCAGGCAACAAGCAGTAACGTGTGGTTTCCTTTTTATTCAAAGAGTTTTAGTAATTCAAAATTCAAATAATCTGAATTCTGCTCTCCCAGATTTTCAAAGAGTAAAAGAATTTATATGAATGTAATGTGCTAATATAAAGTTTAGACAGGTATGCCGGAGACAGAGGCAAAATGAATAACATTTTCTAAATAACCTGATAACCTTCAGAGAGTGAGCTGTGAAAGAAGAACTGGATTTTGACATGCGAGTCGGTGCATTTTCTTTTTTTGGACAAGCTGAGCTGTGTCTTGCTAAACAAACCTCTGGGTGGCACCAAAGCACTGTTTAATGATAATGAAAGGAGCATGACACTGGCAAAGAAACAGAGTTTTGTGTGGATCTTATGTATTATATTGCACAGAGATTACAGTAAAGCTGGTATTAGTTCTGTGGTTTCTTTTAAAATAACAGCAACAAAGCATCAGCAAGGCTTAATGGCCTTCACCCTCGGGATAGAAGTGGTCTTTACAGCCTAAAATATGAAAAAAATAAAATAAAATAACAACAAACAACCAAAAATCCACATAGGGGCGTTGGTGGTATATTTTTAAGAAGAATAAAGGGGAAGTAAGGACAACAAGAGGATGTTTTCATATGTGGCCAGACAGGTTTTGAAGAATTAACTATGAAACTAAGATAGCAATCAGTAAATACCAGACTTATGTTTCTCCTTCTTTTCCTCCATAGTTCCTAATCAAATAGACAGCTGCATGATGAATGGGTGCTTACGTGCCACAAAAATATTTACCCAGTAGTGTTGAGCCACGGTTCATGGTTTGAACACGCATCGGCTGAATCGCAGCTTTTATCAAGATTAGCAGCACATACTGAGTGGACACTAGAACTAAAATCTTACATACAAAAATGGCCTTTTTTGTGAAAAGCACCTTAAAAGATTTTAAAAGATTTAATGGTAACAGATGGAGAAACAGGCTCTCTCAAAGTAGTATCATAACGTCCCATATGAAGAACGACATACGTCACTAAACTCGATGACAACCTCTTTGCAGCCAGCAAAAATCAGAAATTGCCTGGTCACTGCTCTAAATTTTTTCATATTCAGCAACTGATTGCTCGTAGTTTTGGCCACCAGCTGGTCAGCCCTTGGTGGAAGAGTGCAATGCCCTTAACCTGAGGGCGGCTGCTTTGGATCACAAGACGACTACACGTGTCATCTGGTGGAAGGCAATCCATCTCCAAACAATTACTGTCCAACTCACACTGGCTGCATTCACATTCAGACAGATTGGCAAAGGTGTGCAAATAATTGCCATCTAATTTTAAAATGCAGACAGATTGCCAGCACATTGCAATCAATCTGAGTCAATCTGCACCAATAAGCACAGCTCGTCTATGACACTTGTTTTTGCAATAAGGGACTCGACTCAACTCTCTTGCCATCTGGTTGTATTCTGGTTATATATCTATATAAATCAGTATTTGAGAAGAAATCTTTGAATTTCTGTTTAATTATGAATTTCTGTGGATGTAGGGTGAAACAGATTTGTGATTTTCACCAACTGCTTACAGTTAACTGCCGTATTATCACAAACACCGACCCCGTTCAACTGCAGCCTAATAGCAAAATAGCACTCGTTTTGAAGATGGCAACTGCCTGCCAGTTGTAGACCCGGTCCACGTCAACAGCTATTTCAAAGGCAACAAGTTTGTTGCACTTGGCTACAGTAATTTTGGTCGTCCTGCAGTCTCCAACCACTGTTTTCCCTAGTCTGACTGTAGAAGCTAGTAAGACCCATTGAATCTAATAACATATAAAGACTTAGGAACTCAATCTAACCTATAAATACACTCAACATGCTATAAAGGATCAGATTTGTAGTTTCTGCAGATTTATTATTAAATATTAATTCAATTCAGTTCAATACATTATTTATGAAGTGGCAGTCAACTCAAGGTGCTTTACACAGCATCACAAAGACCCTACAATCATCAAAACAATGAAGGAAGAAAAAACTACGAGTTTTCATCTGCTTTAACCTTTGTCTGCTTTTCCATTAGCTCTAAATATGACTCAGACATATAACTGATCTCTCCACTGCGCTGCTATTTTAATCTGTTCTGTTAGAACCCAGAGTGTCCAGGACCACCTGAGCTGAAGCGCCAAGGACACAGAATAGAGTAGCTGACATGTTATTGGTTAGTGAGGGTGCATTACCTGAGCCTGAGATCCATTCAGCATCAGATAATAGAGCTTACTGAGGATGCTCTGATGCAGCTGGTCCCAGGAGATACTCCTGTCCTCAAGTATAAGAAATGGAGGCCCAAACCTGCGAGAGCAGAGCACAAGTGAGGACGGTAGAGCAGAGCAGAACAAAAGAGATTTGAGAGTAGGTTTTGCATTGAAAAGATAAATAAAAAATGATTGCTATTTATAATTAAGTATGTTGGCAAGTAATTAAGATTAGAAAACGTAGTCTAACCTGAATTCATTGAAACACTAAGTAAGTGAAAAGCAGCTGTAGGCTTATTAGGAATGTGTCAAACTATCAAATGTCAAGTGCATCAAGTTGTTACAGCCAGCTGTCTTGTACTGACATGTTGTCCAGGAACAAATAAGAAACCAGTCTGCATTTCAGCAATGCATCCATTAGAATTGGGTTCTTCCACCTATGTTAATCCAAAGCCTTGCATATAGTCCACATACAATTACAATAACACTTTAAGTTTTAAATGCATTTAAGACATTTACAGTATAAACACAAACACAGCAACAAAGTTCCCAATGCCTTGGCAGCTAACTGTTTTGAAGAAATATTGGTGCAACTCATTCAGTTGCTACACAACACAACAGTATGACAGCAACACCAAGCTTTTAATGTCGCAGCATCGTACTGGAGAAGACCTGTTTTTCCTCTCTTAAAACCTCCCCGCAGCACAAAGTGAGCTCAGAGTGATGAAATAATTTGGAGTCAAAGAACTTGAGTTGCCTTAACCTGAACGACCCTGAACGGGATCGTTTTGATTGCTACTGTGCGCCAGAGCATGATCTGTAGGCTGAATGGGAGCAAATCTTTACAAGCTTCATAATATCACAGTCTCAGAGGAGCAAAGCTGTTGAAGTTGCACATTTAAGCACAGATTTGGACTGTTCGGGTATCCACATGATTCTATTATAGTATGCAGCGAAATTCCACTATGGCATTTTAATTAGGAAATAATTAAACATCTGTAGATGTATTGCTTTTTCCAGATCATTTTGGGAATAGATGGCTGCACAGAGACACTCAGACATTTATTGTAGCCGCACAGACGAGTCAGGTGGCATGTGGACGGATGAGTCTTCAAATGTCAGACCCTGACATTATCAAGCCTTTCAGTAATGTCTCTACATGGATTTGTGGAGCTATAAGATCAAATCCCAAAGTGCACATGATGACTGAAACTAGATCACAGGAGAGTAAAATAAATCTGTCTTGCCTTGTGTCAATAAGAGGTTAGACTTATTGATCCCCTGTGGAGAGAGCGTTATAAATTGAAAAGTATTAATAACAGCGATGTGGATGCTTTTGTGCACTGTAAGCCCCATCCAATCTGCCTTTGCAAGGACTTGTTTTAGTAAAATAGTAACAGCAAAACATTCACGTGCAAGCCAATAAATCTTTGCTCAGTTTAAAGTAAGCTTGAAATTTGTCTTGGTCACATATCTTTTTATTTACCTTCTCAGTGACGATACTGTCAGGTAAACTTTATCAAAAGTTTGGATTCTTTGATTTGTAATGCTGTTCAGTAACTATGGGATGCTTAACCTCAAATAAATACAAGCATCCAATCAGCTTCTTCCATTGTTTCTTCCATCTGTGATGCTGCTGAAATCTAACATCAAATGCGGCACATTGCAGATACTAAGCAGTGACGAGCACATGGATCTAATTGATTTTTTTCACAGGTCAGAGGGTTTGATTTGACCACATTGTTTAACTTGGCCTCTAGTTTCAACACTATTGAGTTGAATGTATGTTTTAGCTGCACAAATCTAAAAAAATAAACCCCGTTGAGTCTGGGGAATTCACGTAACAGACATACAGGTCAAAGTCAAACAGGAGTTAGATGTTGATGCTGAAATAACACAGCAGGACTAAAGGAAAAGAATGAACGACAAAATCTATTTAAGACACAGCAGAGCAAGAGAAGTGTCTGCTTCTGTGTATGATCAAGGTCTAAAACACAGTCTGACTGCAGGATGGCACGTCCTTAAAATGCATAAAAGATATCTAGGTTACCTTAGATATCTTTACACTTGGTTCTTCTGTGCTCAAAAAGTTCTAGAAGAAGCCATGATTGTTAAATAAACTGCTTATCTGAGTTAAAGAGATGTACAAAAAAAATCAATACAAATGAAATGGATAATAATGACGATGACAACAGCTCACCTGACAGCTTGTGAGCCAGATCCTGCTGTGTTGCAGATGAGGAGGAGGACCTTGGAGTTACCCTGGTTCAGATACTCAGAGGAGAGGGTGCCAGATGGAGGTAACCTCTGACCATCAGGTCCAGCCGTGAAGGCGTAGGGGGAGGAAGGGAGGCTGTGGTGATACCCTGACCATAACAGAGGAAGCAGGGAGAAATTGTTTAACACGGCACAATTACATTTGTCATGGTCTTTTTGAAGCTAGCTGTTCATATCACTGCGAATGCCGGGATAATCCATCAGCCAATCTTTCTCTCCTTCTCACTAAGTTGTGCTTCTTGGTGACAAATCATCAAAGCAATTGGCTACAGCTCACCAATGTGTTTCTTTTTATTGCTTCTTATCATATTATAATGCATGAAATCTCTGCGTCTGTTTCTTTGAACAATGAATGACAGGTTGGAGATGCCCAACCCTACACCCAAGACCCCACAATACTTAGAATCCTCCTTTTAAGGCGGAGACTTATTGCATACTACTTAAGGAGTCCACCCTTTTCTGATGAGAAACATGGCCTCGGGCTTGTAGGTGCTGATTCTCCTCTGATGTGAGTCAGAGATCATCGTTTGATTATGCCAAACACACTCAACCCCTTGGCCCCAAAATTCTCTCTATAAAGTTTTCAACAGGCCAAAGGGCAGAATATTGAGTGTCAAGAAACTGCTTATTATATTTTTACCAGCAACAAGCAACATCTCATGACAGGATCGCATCATTGGTTACTCTAACCCAAGTTGTGCCCAGTCTTAGGAACAACTGAAATGAACTAGGGATGAAAAAAAAAAAAAAAACCAAAACATTGAGTTTGTGAATGAAAAACTGTTATGCAAAATCAACCATTTAATGTGAAACGTTTACACTTTCTTCCAAAGGGATCTTTAAAAATCTCCATTATGGTAAAATTGTTCTTATTTACCCCAAGCAGCTGTAAAAGAAGCTGCATCTCGTATCGCTCGCACTTACAAGACAAACACGCTGCTGTGATTAATGCTGAGTAATAGTGGAAGTTGACACAGAGGGTTCAACCTCTTGACTCCCAGGAAACATAAACTTTGACACTATCAGAGGATTTAATTAAACTGTGCTTGTTTGATCTCAACCATGCAATTAATCACTGCCATGTTTCAACACACACGCGCACACATATATGGTGGCAAAAGGACACACATTCATCGCCTAAGTAGAAGTACAAATATTTGTTTTAAAGAATACTCTTGTAAAAGTTGAAGTACTAATTCAGTTTTTTTACTCAAGTAAAAGTGAAGTGCAGGCTCTGAAATGTACTAGTAGTATAACAGTAAAACGTATCGCGTTGGAGGACACTTCTACAAGCTATGTTTGTGCAAAGCTAAGTGAACTTCATGTCATATTAAATATGATAAGAAAATAATACCCGGGTCCTGTCATTTCTGTCTTACATTTTTCTCTACCTCTGAAACTGAGCTTCTCTTCTGTCTCTGGGAATTAAAGAACCTGTACTTTTAGAGATACACATTGCTGTAGGGTCTTTACCTTATAACACTCAGTGCATTGTCATATGTTTTTGTGCTTTGGTGCTATATAAATAAAACTGAATTGAACACATTGTGTTACAAACTGCACAGCTACAGTTTGTGTGTTTGAAATTACTTGCCACGTTACTCTTGTTAATCTTTTTTATTGCACTATACAACTTAAACCCCTTGTTTAAGTTGTATAGTGCGATAAATGATGCATAAATTTGATATTTAACTTAGTTTGAACATAACAGTGATGCAAAATAATCCCCTCAAATCAGTTAGACCTGAAGTAATGAACCTGTTATGAAAATGTAAGGAGCAAAGATATATACGTTTGAATGTAGAGAACAAAGGTTGTCTGAAAATTTAAATAGTCAAGTAAAATACAGATATATGAAAACTCTACAGGAACAAGGTTTTGTAGTTCTTTATTTCCCACCTCTTAATAAAAAAAATCTAAGGAAAGCAAGCGTGAATAGATGTAAAGCTGAGATAAAGTGCCACCAAAAAAGCAAGAAGGGAGACTAATAAGGCGTAAAAAAGAGCTCAGTGAAAGAACTTCTTTTTGAAACGAGAAAGGAAAAGTCTGCAAAAACACAACACATCTCCGACTTCTAATTCATGTCTAATTAAGTACACTTTTTTGAAAAAAAAAATTATTTAAATCTGACGTATTCTAAAACAATTTTTAAGATGTTAAGAATTATTACTATCAAACAATTAGAGACAGAGGAACATATAACTCTTGCTTCTGAGAAGACCAGAGCAAAAAGCACTTTTAAAATCAGAAAGTAATATGTCCTGTGAGGCGAGCGGTATCATAACCGATATGTCCTGAGGACACTGGGAGAAATACCTGCCAGACTGTTATTCTCACACCTTCATCTATCCCTTATTGAGATGGATAGAGCAGACCCATGAAGTGAAAGAGGTTTTTGTGGAGTAGAAAGTGGGAGGAGTGGAAGGTATCAGAGTGGAAAAGAAAGGAGAGACTGTAAGAGTGAGAAGAGTGTCCAGACCTAAAGGAAAGAACAGTCGTTTGTCATTTGTAAAGAGTGATTTCCAAGCAAAGCCTTCAGGTGTGAGAGACACTTGCCGAGTGGAACACTGTATGCCTTCTCGTGTACGTACTGACTTATTTCTGATGTTATAGTAATAACGGGCACATAGAGAGAAAAAGTGAGGAAATGTGGGGAAAGAACAAGAGAATCAAACCAATAACTCCTTGTTTAAGATGCTAGGGTGTACGTGGTATCATTCTCATTGCCAACCGGCTATCAGGTCGACCCACAGTAAGCTATTTGTTGTTGTTATTGCAACAATGTCATGGCTGCTGTAAAATTCTCCTTGTAATCTGCTCTTTGTAATTAAAAGATAAACCCTGAGACTGAAGTGGATGCAACTGAACTAAGTGGAAAAGAGATACAAAAAAAGAGGATTATGAGGTGAAAGAAACAAAAACAGAAACTGCTCTTGGGAATGGAGGTGGTGTGTACGGCAACATTAATTAAACAACTCAGTCCTGCAGAAGACTCCTCCGGCATTCATTCTCGTCTTAACTCGCCATCCTTTAATTTTTCCTTTTTTTTCTTATCTTATCCTCTCTCACTGGTACTCTATTTATCATTGTCAGTATCTATTTTCCTTTCTTTCCCTAAAAAGTCTCCATCATCTGAATGTTAGGGATGAATCAGCCCTCAGCTACAAAGAAGAGTCAGGTAATGAAGGATAGCAAAAGTGGTAATTGCCACATCAGGAGATTATTGAGAGTTTTTTAGACCTGTGAGATGGGTGAAGGACAGATTGTTACACCTGGGAGGACAAAGCAGTCTTTTATAAAGTATGTTACTCTTCCTTACTGTAAGCTTTAACACAGCCTAGCTGCAGTTTGCTTTCATGCAGACATATGCAAGCTTCAACTTTCACATTAAAGTCTGGAAAGCCAATGCTAAATAATGGTATCTGGCTACAGTGTGGTTTGTAGCTGGTGAACACAAATATCTTTAAGATGGTTAAGATGGCATTTAAAAATGAGAGCCTACAGTGCTGCTTCTAGTATCGACAGAGGATTTGAGTCAGCATTTGCTGGAAATGTGCCCTTGATCATCCCATTACTTTGCAAAATTCAATTCACAGATGAAATGTTTCAGACAAAAGTCAATTAGGAAACACTTCTGCTCATTGCTGAAGTGTAACAATAAGGTTGTGTGAACACTCCGGCACATAAATGATGAGAAAAGACACTCCTTCCAAGCAGTGCGGGAGCCAGATCAGGGACACGTGTCAGCACAATCCACATACCCGACCAAAAATATCCAGGTGAACCCGCTACCTTACAGTCTTGAGCAAATCTGAGGTCTTGGCAGCAAACACTCATCTGACCACACAATGGCTCAGATGAGAGCAAAGCAGCTGAGCCTCATGCCAAGAGCAAAATTACAGATTAGGCAAGCTGCACAGAAGGAACTGAACACACCTGATGCTGCCCTATTTTTTCCTCTCTTCTCTATGTTCCTTCCCTTAAATGCATCCATTTAACCGTCTGTCATATACAGCAGGAAGGCACAACGTTGTGTCAAGAGTGGTCACCGCACAAACCCTATTAAGAGGAACAACACATGCAGACAGTAAAGAGGACGGTATATGAAACGGTGCAGTCGGAGCACAGTCTGCTGCACAAACTTCGTGATGACATAATTTCCAAATCGCCCAAAGTATCTTTTTCTGCATTTTGTCCTGTTAAGCACTGTTCTGCTAATCTTAATCTTATTCTACACTCACCAGCCACTTCATTAATTTAACCTCGCTAGTAGCAGGCTGGACCCTCTTTAAAATGCCTTAATTTTTGTCATGCAGATTCAACAAGGTGCTGGAAACATTTCTCAAAGACCATGTTGAAATCGTGGCGACAGTCAGTTGATAAAGGTTTATCAGCTGCACATCTATGACGCAAATGGTCAGGAACAACACTCAGGTGAGTATGACAAGAAAATATCCATCTCCCACTCTATTACACTGCCGCCACCAGTCTGAATCGCTGATACAAGGTAGCATGGATTCATGTTTTTATTTTGGTTACACCAAACTGTCTCAGCAGAAATTGAGACTCATGAGAGCGGCCAACGTTTTTCCAGTCTTCTGTTGTCCAATTTTGCTGAGCCCGTGTCAATTTCAGTCTCGGTTTTTGTTCTTAGCTGACAGGAGTGGCACCCGGTACGGTCTTCTGCTGGACGTGTTCTGCATTCAGAGATGCTCTTCTGCATACTCTGGCAATAACGAGCGGTTATTCGAATCACTGTTGTCTTCCTATCAGCTTGAAGCAGTCTGGCCACTGTCTGACGATGCCAGAAGTCTTTTCTATTTTCTCTTTTCGGACCTTTCTCTGTAAACCCCAGAGATAGTTGTGTTCATCTAAATGCCTAAATGCACTGAGTTGCTGCCATGTGAACGGGAATATCAACAAATCAAACAACATGGGAGAGCCCTCTTTTGTAAAACATCTATAAAAGTGGAACATAAACGGAAGACTTTTTTTCTGCCCTGCTGACTGGTTACTTAAACATAATTAAGATGTGTTCTGAGCTCATCGTACACTAGATGTTTCAACATGCTTGTGGAAAGATGAAGCA